CCACCTCGGCCACGTCCTCTTCCTCTCTGACTCGACTCAGCTCTTTCTTCATTTCTCACCTCATAACCTCAGCCACGACCACCTCGGCCACTTCTACGTCCAGCTCGTCCACGACCTCTACCTCAGACATTTTGAGAATAGAGCGCCTTCTCATCTTTAATGGTTGCTTTTGTCTGGAGTGCTTGCTCCAGCGACTCCTCATTTTTCTTCTTCTTGCGCTGCTCATGCGCCTCAAGGGAACCTGCTAGCTCTTCAACAGAAAGCGTAGCCAAGTCCTTCGACTCCTCAATTGCACATACCACATTTTCGAAGTCGTCGGTCAACGACCGGAGAATCTTTTCAACAACTCTAGTCTCATATAATTCCTCACTATTCTGCTTTAACTGATTCACCACGGCTTGAACGCGGGTGATGAACTCGGATACACCCTCTGAATCTTTCATCTTCATGCCTTCCAACTCGCCACGTAGAGTTTGAAGTCGGACCTGCTTTACTCGGTCAGCACCTTTATAGACATTTTCCAAGATGTCCCATGCTTCCTTAGACGTCGTTGCTCCTGCTATCTTCTCAAATCCGGACTCGTCTACAGCTCGGAAAAGCGTGTATAAGGCTGACTTGTCCTTCGCACGCGTCTCTTTCAACGCCTTGGTTTGAGCTGCTGAGTATCCTGCGGTAGTTGCAGGTTCAGCAAAACCGTCCTGAACAACATCCCAAGCATCCTGGGATCCGAGCAACGCCTTCATCTGGATACTCCAATTCACGTAATTCGCCTTTGTCAGGCGGGGCAACGACATACTGGAAGTGCTCACACTCTCCATAACTCAAGCTCTTATACCAATTTGTGAATCACAGGTCCTCTAATGGTGTTTCTCACAAACACTTGAAACACACAAGGAGTTCTCTGAATATACCTCTTTGTATATCTTTTAACATTCAAGCCTTGCATTCAAATGATTTACATGGTACTATTTAAAAGCAATAGCAAATAACTAGAAATACTAATGACTAACTTAGGAAATCTAAACACATTAATGACTACTTCTTAAAAACTTTAAACTCATTAATGTCCACTAACAAATTCCTAAGAGACACACCTCTTCACCAAAAAAAACCTTTCATTTTCTATTTTCTTTTATTCAAATAAAGTTTAAAAACCCAACAATTGATAGGCCACAAGAGAGTCTAAACCTTTCTCTAATCTTCTTAACGGTGAGCATGACCTTGAAAGAGAGGTAATTGGATATATACATACTGCTTATTTTGATGGCAAATTTTTATTAATTAATATACAGAATGTTAACTTAGAAGGATGAATGAGCTTCCATGAACGAATTACGGACATACACACACAATTCATATTTTGAATTTGCATGTTTGTTTCAATGTGAGTGATTATTCAATTTAAAGATCTTGATGTGAAAAATAATTGAACTTTTTTCATGAAACAAAACCAGCGGTGCATTTCAGGATGCCACTACTAACGATAAAAAACGCACTATCTATTGAGTATTTCTAACGATCTTTACCATGCTCTGCATACCATGACATGCATTTTCTTATGCATAACCTTTGTGCTTTAAATAAGACAACTAGTTGCCTAAAAGTCCACCTTCTTTATTTCCCTCATTTTGCCTGAATTTAAACTAGAATTCTGTATCATTACATTCATTTAGTGGCTAATTTCTTTTCTTGTTTCTTTCAATTTTCATTTCTTTGTCATTAGTCACCTTTCATCTTCGGAAGTCAGGGGGGTTTGATCTTTTAGTCACCTTTCATCTAATGCTTAAGTATATTTTATCTCAATATAATTCATGTAAAACCAAAATTTCAGTGAATAAGGAAGAATGAAATCTTAGCATTTATATAATAAGGAAGAATCAAAATTTCATTTATTTGATCTTTTAACTAATTGTTGTAGTTAGATTTCTCATTCCATAGAGTATGCTAAAGTGTAACTCTGATCTTTGTAATCTTAATGGTCTGTTGCTCGTGATAATGCTTTAAGTTTTAGATTAATATATTATGTCTGTTGCCATTTACACTGATGGAATGTTGAAATATTTTAACAGGGGAAGTAACAAAGCCTAAAGCCTTCATATTTTTCCTAAAGCAATTTAGTCATGCCTTAAAGGAAAACTTTTAAAGAATAATTTTCTAAATCGTCCATCTCATGTAGGACGTGAGTCCAGTAGGAAATGGATTGTGCAAGCTATAGGTAATTTTTTTTAAGTAAGTAATGATTATTATATTATCATTTAAGCTAACTAAGATCTGTTTTAATAGATGAAGAAGGAAATGAAAAGAAAATTCAATTGACAACATCAAGTGTGTTTGAGATGAATGATGGTCAACGCATAATAGTGCCATTTGATGGTCAACATCATTAAAGACTCTTGGATTTTGTAGCTTTAAGATGGTTTATTTTAAGTTTCTTGTTTTGGATAATTGTAAATTTCATACTCTTTCTTGTTTACTATCAACTTTATCTTTTTTGAATGTGTACCATTTATAGAGGTATACTCATAGAATCAACTTTATATTTGAATGCAAAAGAGAATTTGGTGCACCTTGGGTTGTACCCCTGTTATATATATGAGTTGCAAAAAAAGAAGCATAACCTACAGTTCCTATGATCATATCTTTATGTATTTTCCGTGATTGATTGAAAAAAGATTTATACAATATCATAACACTCTTAGGTAACTATTGGCTTCTTCTTTACTTAAGTAAAGTGATGTATTCAAGCTGACCGACCATATAAATATAGGCAATTTACACCAGAAATTGTGGCAAAAATTTAGGAATGCCAAAATTACTAAATAAATTGTGGCATTTTACACCTTCCAGGAAGTGAAACATTTTGTGGATGTTGAAGAATGCTAGAAATTGCAACATTTTGTGGAGGTTTTTAACCTACAGAAAATCAAAAATATTGTGGAGGTTGAAGAATGCTAGAAATTGCAACATTTTGTGGAGGTTTTTAACCTACAGAAAATTAAAAATATTGTGGAGGTTGAAGAATGCCAGAAATTGCAACATTTGTGGGGGTTCGAAACCTCCAAAAAATACTTTAACAAATAGTGTCGTTGCACACAAAACCCCCACAAAATATGTTGTGACGCATGCAATACTGACGTTTTGGGGAACCCCCACAAATATATTTTGTGGGGGTCAAAGACCTCCACTATTTGCAAATATAACCTCCACAAATCACATGATTTTTTGTAGTGGCACCTTAGGGAGAAGAACAAGAACTCAAACTTATTCCATTCCTTCTCCTCCTCCATAAACCGTGAAGTTAGGAAACATCAAAGAGACTCAACCTCATAAACCTCCTACCTCTAAACCGTGGACATCTAGGGAGTCATTAACATCTAGTCTTCCATTTTCTTGGGTCTTCCTTCTCAGCCGAAGTCTATAGGACAAAGAGGTAATGTATGGTTCCATCTCCTTGATTTTTTTTATGATGAGGTTCCATTGTATGAAGGCTCTAAATTAAGCAAACGTTTTCCTCCTCTTTGTGCGCAAGGCCAGCTACTTGGAGGGCTGGACTTCTTCCTTAGAAGCTTAGGAAGGTTAGAGATTGTTCTCAAGTGAGTCACTAGGCGCGTGAGCTTCAAGGAGGTAAGATTCTTAACCTTAACTTATCCTACATCTAGTGGTCGGTTGGCATATGTGCTTAAGAAGTAGCTTTCTAGTTCCTTGTTCCTTTGATTCAGCCACTGTATGTTATTTGAGCTTAGGTTGAAAGCATGTACGCTTATTTTTAGAAAAACGTTGCTATGTGGTGATTTTGATGCTCTCTTTTTGCGAAATATGTTGTGAGACAACTCACTAATTTTTAGCACACCTTATGGAATATATGTGTTAGAAAGACACTCACTGTTTCACTGAAAAATGCTCACTGTTTTCCAAAATAAAATCGTTATTGCATGTTGATTTTATTCACTGTTTGCTGAAGAACGTTGTTAAGAAATGCTCACTGTTTCGCTCACTGTTTTGAGTAAAAATGCTCACTGTTTCGCTCACTGTTTTAAGTAAAAATGCTCACTGTTTGCTCACTGTTTTAAGTGAAAACGTTCACTGTTTGCTCACTGTATTCTTTAGTGAAAACGTTCGCTGTTTGCTCAATATTTTTTTAAGTGAAAACGTTCACTGTTGCTCACTGTTTTAAGTGAAAACGTTCACTGTTTGCTCACTGTATTCTTTAGTGAAAACGTTCGCTGTTTCCTCAATATTTTTTTAGGTGAAAACGTTTACTGTTGCTCACTGTTTTAAGTAAAAACGTTCACTGTTTGCTCACTATATTCTTTAGTGAAAACGTTCGTTGTTTGCTCAATATTTTTTTAAGTGAAAACGTTCACTGTTGCTCACTGTTTTTAAGTGAAAACGTTCACTGTTTGCTCACTGTTTTTAAATAAAAACGCCACTGTTTTGTCACTATTTTACGTTGAAGTGATCACTGTTTGCCCTCGCTGTTTAGCGTTAAAAAGAATTAAATAAGAGTTAAAAATGATTTTTAGAAAAGGAACATTTGGCCGAATATCATAGGGAACTTAAGCTTGGGAATTTGGTTGAATAAATTGAATGTACACTGATTTATTATACTGTAAATTAGGTGCGAAAAATCCTTGAGACGTTGTTACGAAGAAGAAAGAACAAAGGGAGAGGGTACCATCTTCTAAGCTTAAAGACTTTTATTGTTGAGAGTGGTCAGAGTACGTGGCTTATATAAGAGTTGGTTAGAGTAGAATGTCAATAGGTGATTGGTGAATATAATAAGTGTTGTGTACATAGGACACGTGTCTGTGATTGTTGACAGATGGAATACATGTAACAGAACTTGTATAAAAACAGGACACATCAGTGTATGAAGATTCATTCTGAAAAAGCTTAATAAATTCTAGTTTTTCTCTGCTCTTTTATTCCTATTTGTTCCTCTCTTCTCTGCTGCTCAGGAAGGGCGTAACATTGGTGCTTTCATTCGTGGACTTTTCATGATGCGGGTTCAAGATTTGGCGGAGGTGGTTCAAGCCTTGAATCAACGTTTTGAGGAATCACAATCTCAAATATCATTGATGGTTGCTCAAATGAAACAATTGAATGAGTCTGTGGGGTCTCTTCACGCACGGCCAGGAAATTCACCGGAATCCCATCAAGAACCATTTACACAACCTGTTTTGTCGGACACGGGAAATTTGCAGAACCCTATGGGTCACAGAGAGATGGGAGATCCCAGATCGTTGTTGAAGTTCGTTAAAATGGAGATTCCCTTATTTGACGGTACAAACCCTGATAAATGGATCTTCAAAACGAAACTTTTCTTTGATTTGCAAAGGGTTCCACCGGAATTACAAGTGCAACTCGCTGGGTTACGTATGGAGGGACAAGCGTCTTCGTGGTTTCAATGGAAGTATAGAAGCGGAACCATTCGTGGGTGGTCCGAGTTCACAACAGCTTTGCGTCAACGTTTTGCAGTTATTCCTCAGAAACGTGTGACAGGGAACTTGTCAAAGTTATCACAGACAGGTACATTGAAAGATTATCTGTTTGAGTTCGAAAAATTGATGAATCAGACACAAAATCTTAATGAGGAATTATTGTTAAGTTTTTTTGTCTCTGGTCTGACACCTGATTTGAGGAGAGCGCTGGAGATTCATGACCCAAAATCGTTGCAACAAGCCATGGAATTGGCAGTAGTGTACGATTCACATTACTCAGGTTTACGGGTGTCTTTAAATTCGGGACCAAAGAAGAGTCAGTTTCGTTCATATTCAACGAATGAGCTTCATGGAGGACAGAGTTCAAATTCAACAGCTCCTGCTGTCTCTGGTACAGCTTCCACGTCTGTCAACAAGGCTTCTGTAGGGTCTTCCGTTCCCTTTAAGAAGTTATCAAATGAAGAAATGAGTAAGAAAAGGGAGCTAGGTCTGTGTTATACATGTGACGAAAAATGGACTTCCAAGCATAGGTGCCCCAGTAAGATGTTGATAATGGTGAGGGATGACACCGATGAAGAGGGAGCTGAAGGGGAAGAAATTGTTTGGAACTCTCAACCTATACCTCAGGAAGACGCAGCATTACATTCTTTAACTGAAGGATCAATGTCTAAGGCCTTTAATTTTGTGGCTGACATACATGGTACGAAAACAACGGTGTTAGTGGACACGGGAAGCACGCACAATTTTGTAAAGAAGGAGCTGGCATTGGAGTTAGAACTACCTATGATTCGTATCAAGAGGATGAGGGTGTTTCTTGGTAATGGGGAGTTTCTGGTTTGTGATCACAAATGCAAAGCTGTCAAATTGCAGTTACAAGGGGAAATCTTCTTGGTGGACTTGTGGGTGCTCAATCTGGCAAACCTTGGAGTCATTTTAGGAATGTGTTGGTTGGAACAGTTGGGGACAGTTACCCATGATTACAAAAACATGGTGATGGAATTCACATGGAGGAGCAAGGAGGTCAGATTGTCAGCTACCAAGGCACATGACTTTGGGGAAACAAAGAATAGGAGACAAGCTGAATGCTGGACAATGCAAGAAAAGCCTATAACTGGTGTTGTATCTGAGGTCAGTGTTGATTTAATGAATTTAAAAGCTTCGGTTGATGACTCGCTTTGGCAGTTACTGTTGAAATACCAATCTGTTTTTGCTATACCGAATGCATTACCTCCTGTTCGCAATATGGATCATGCCATTAATGTAGAGCAAGGCAGTAGACCGGTTCATGTGAGACCATACAGATATGGTCATTACCAGAAGGAAGAAATTGAAAGGCAGGTGACAGACTTGATGGCTTCTGGCTTTATTAAGCACAGTACGAGTCCATATTCATCCCCAGTTCTGTTAGTGAAAAAACAGGATGGCACATGGAGGATGTGTGTGGATTATCGGGCTCTAAACAAGATCACCATCCAGGATCGTTTTCCCATGCCCACCATTGATGAATTGATGGATGAATTGGGGGGGTTCTTCAACGTTTTCGAAGCTGGATCTGAGGGTCGGGTACCACCAAATCAGGATGCTGCCGCGGGATATTCCTAAAACTGCATTTAGGACACATGAGGGGCATTATGAATATTTGGTCATGCCATTTGGCTTGACAAATGCCCCAAGTACCTTTCAAGCTGTGATGAATCAGTTGTTTCGACCTTTTCTTCGCAGGTTCATCATCGTTTTCTTTGATGTATATTGGTCTACAGTAGAGGACCTGATGAGCATCTCCAGCATTTACATATTACCTTGCAGATTCTGCACCAGCATAGTTTCTTCGTGAAATTGAGCAAATGTGTCTTTGGAGTGGGAGAGATTGAGTATTTAGGCCACAAAGTGTCACAGCATGGGGTGCATGCTGACCCAAAGAAAATAGAAGCAATGATTGCTTGGCCCATACCTAAAACCGTGAGGCAATTGAGGGGTTTTCTAGGACTCACAGGGTATTATCGACGTTTTGTGAGGCAATACGCAATGATAGCTGCACCATTGACCGATTTGTTGAAGCAAGGAGCATTTCTTTGGTCTGCAGAAACTCAGCAGGCTTTTGAACAATTGAAACATGCCATGGTGACCACACCAGTATTAATCTTACCGAATTTCAAAGTGCCTTTTGTATTAGAAACCGATGCTTCCAATACAGGAGTTGGGGCAGTCCTCTTACAGCTTGAGAAACCAGTAGCATTTTTTAGCAAGAGATTGGGACCACGGTTAACTACTGCATCTACATATGTGAAGGAGTTATATGCTATAGCACAAGCCGTGAAACGTTGGCGACAGTACTTATTAGGCGTGCATTTCACAATACGAACTGACCATAAAAGCATCAAAGAATTATTGGCTCAGACAGTACAGACGTTAGAGCAGCAAAAGTACGTGTGTAAACTGATGGGATATTCTTTTACAATAGAGTATAAACCTGGGAAGCTGAATGTGGTTGTTGATGGGCTTTCACGAAGTCTGGAGGAAGAAGCAATGGTACATGCCATTCGAGTTGAACCTTCTTTTGATCTGATTAATCAGATGGGAATAGAAAATAGGGAGGATAGCTATTTGCTGGAGATACATGCCAAGGTAAGAGATAATCCCTGTTCTATACCTTTGATCTCGGTGAAAGATGGGATTTTATTTCATAAGCAGAGGATCTTGCTGAGTCCTACATCCAAGCTGATTCCACTAGTGTTGAAAGAAGCTCATGACTCTCAAGTGGGGGGCCATGCTGGTGGACTTCGAACGTTACTTCGTTTGGCTTCATCTTTTTATTGGGACAAAATGCGTACAAGTGTCAAGGAGTATGTGAGCAAATGCCAATTGTGTCAACAAATGAAGACCAGCACCCAACCTCCGTGTGGTTTGTTACAACCATTACCAGTTCCTGATGGAGTGTTCGAAGACTTAACTTTAGATTTCATTGTTAGTTTACCATCTTCTAACGGGCTTACAACCATTCTGGTCATTGTGGATAGACTCACAAAATATGCTTATTTTGGAGCTCTCCCAACCTCGTTCACTGCAGCAAAAGTGGCACAGTTGTTCTGTGACTTAGTGGTCCGAAATCATGGCTTTCCAAAATCTTTAATTTCTGATCGTGATAGAATTTTCCTATCCCAATTCTGGAGTGCTATTTTCAAGTGTAGTGGCACAACATTGAAGACCAGCACAGCCTATCATCCCCAAACGGATGGTCAAACGGAGGTAACAAATCGATATGTGGAACAATACTTACGTATTTTCTGTCATGAACAACCACATTCCTGGACCAAGCTGCTATGTTGGGCCCAATTCCATTATAACACAGCTGTTCATTCAGCAATTGGAATGTCTCATTTTCAAGCTTTGTTTGGCAAGAGTCCCATATTGATTCCTTTTTATCCGAGAGGCATGGTGAAGATTGAAGCTGTGGATACCCTGTTGAGTCAGAGAAATGACTTATTAGCAACACTAAAGAAGAACTTACAACGAGCACGCAACCAGATGAAAACACAGGCAAATAGACACCGAAGAGAGAAAATATTTCAAGAAGGAGATTATGTATGGGTGAAGTTGCAACCATATAGGCAAGTATCTGTGGAACGCCGTTGCTGTCATAAACTTGCTAAGAGATTTTTTGGACCCTTCAAAATTTGCAAAGTCATTAGTGAGGTGGCCTATCAATTGGAGTTACCCGAAGGGAGTAAGATTCATTCAACCTTTCATGTTTCAATGTTGAAGCCGTGGATTGGTCCCCAACCAGATAAACCACTTTTCATGCCATCCTTCACTGTGGATAACCGACCCATTCAGGTACCTTTAGCTGTTCTCAATACTAGAAGTGTACAGCATCATGGACAACAGAGGAGGGAGTTTTTGATACAATGGTCAGATGCACCTCCAGAAGATGCGTCGTGGGAACAAGAAGAGGCTTTGCGCAAGGCTTATCCAAATTTAAACCTTGCGGACAAGGTTTTGGTTGATGGGGGAGGGTGTGTTACGAAGAAGAAAGAACAAAGGGAGAGGGTACCATCTTCTAAGCTTAAAGACTTTTATTGTTGAGAGTGGTCAGAGTACGTGGCTTATAGAAGAGTTGGTTAGAGTAGAATGTCAATAGGTGATTGGTGAATATAATAAGTGTTGTGTACATAGGACACGTGTCTGTGATTGTTGACAGATGGAATACATGTAACAGAACTTGTATAAAAACAGGACACATCAGTGTATGAAGATTCATTCTGAAAAAGCTTAATAAATTCTAGTTTTTCTCTGCTCTTTTATTCCTATTTGTTCCTTTCTTCTCTGCTGCTCAGGAAGGGCGTAACAGACGTTGGACTATTTCGTTGTGAATCGGTAAAGTAAGTTTCGACGTACGAGGTATGTGTTAGGCGATATTACCTGATGTGACTATTGACTAGTGTATGAATTGTGAATTGTTGCTCACATGTGCATTATGTTTATGCTGCCATAAATGATGAAATTATTCTGCCTATGGAAATGTTATGATTATGGAAATTCTGTTATGAAAAGAAAGAATGGCTTGGCAGTATGGCATCCAATGTACATGAAGTATATGTTATGAAATGATGATATATGCATGCACCGTACATCATACCGCACTTGTCTTTCTGTTTGTGTATGACAGCATAGCATGGCATGCATATACCAAATTCATGTTAGTCTTGAGTCTTAGAATAGTTATCTACAGGATCATGTGATTGAGCACGCATCATATAGGCACCACCGGGACACTTGGCATCCGTCCGAATAGGCCACAGTGGGATTCAATAAATGAGGGTGCCGTTGCATGGAATTCCCACTGTGTATGCACGCGCACGACGGTGCTATGAGCGTGATGAAGGCGTTATATACGCAATATGATATATGATGAAAAGGATATATGATGAAAAATTTATATGATGAAAAGGATTTCATGTTTGAAGCGACTGTTTATAATTTTGTGCCTAGTTTAATACTGTTGCATTATTGGTTTTGTTGCCACACTACTGGGATTTCTCTCACCCCTTTGGGGCTGCTATTTTTACAAAATGGCAGGAGGACGTAAAAGATTTTGAGGACTTGGATATTTGTTGTTGGCTTCTACTGTTTTGGGCATGCTGCTATTGATGTGATATTTTATGGATGACTGTATGAAATTGAGAAGCTTTTATTAATGTGAACTATGATTTTATTATTGCATTACGATTTTATGACCAACAAGTATTAAGGGAACAGATGTTGAAACGTTTGCGAAAAGGATTTTGACGTGTTATCTAAATGCTGAGTTTTGAAAAGTCTTTGCGAGCACTTTGTAGGTTGTCGTACTGTGGCTACGGACCTCCGATTGTCTTATAATTTATATGCACGCGTAGCCCCAGGTGTCTAGTTTCATTATATATAAACCTTGCAAAGAACTTCTGAAAGCTCGATTTATTACGAATTTTTACCAGCCAGGACGTTTGTGATATTTTCACTGTTTTATCTCTTATTTTGTGAGTTATGTTTCGAGGGGAAAACGAACTCCAAATCACTATTATTTTATATGAACGTGAAGCCCTAGATGTCTAGTTTCCAGATTACAAAGAATATTTTTTTGAATCGTTGAACTGGATTTTATACGAATTTTTAAAGACAGACAGGTCTATCAGGAAATTTTTATTTCTAGTAAGTTTAGGAAATTTTGCGTACTCTGATTTTGTAATTAACCAGATCCCCTCTTTAGTTTTAATTGGCAATGTAAAAGCGATTTTTGCAGTCTCTAAAATACTATGAAAGAACTCTAATTCCGCTTAGCAAACACATCTCTTGGAGGCCTACAAGAGAGAGTGTTACACCCTAACCCTGCCCCTGTATATTGTTTATCTGAAATTGGATTTTTATTTTGATTTTGTTTTACAGTGTGACTGCATGGAGGAGAGACGCGTTGCGAAGAAGAGAGCGGTGGATACCGAAGGGAGGAGCAAGCACCGACATGATGGTTCTTCCTCCTCTCAGCCCCAAGCTGCTGTGCATCAAGCTCTGGACCTGTCGTTCGGATATTTACTTGAGGATGACGCTAATGCACACGAGAGGTTTGTGAAGTTTTTTGGGAGCCACAAAATTTGTGAGCTGAAATCACTGGATTCAGCTTTCTTCAATTTGGAGCGGTTCGACATAGTCCCACTTCTTCAGCAAGCACATCTGCTGGTGCTGGCGGAGATGAGGTGCCCGTACTCGGAGGTCATGGTGAGAGCATTCTACCAGAACCTGGGCTATGTGCATGGTGAGCTGACTTCCCGTGTCTGCGGGATTGATATCATCCTTACTGCTCCTATCTGGACAGAGTTGCTGGGATTTGACTTCGATAGTGTGCCAGGGGCAGCACTATATGACGGAGACAGCCATCATATATTTTGTGGTTATGATCGGGAGGCTGTTGTGGCTGAGACCAGGAGAGCAGATGCAGAGGCCGGACAATTTGCTCATTATCCTGTGAGCAATTTGTCTGTGTCTGCCCGCATACTTCATTATGTGGTGACACACATTATTTTCTAGCGCCCTCATAATCACTCGAAGGTGCTGGAAGGTGACTTTGTGATCTT